AAAGCAAAGGAGTAACCTAACCATGGAGAACCCAATCCATGAACCCACTACCTCCGGGCCCCTTCTTGATACCGCACCCCATTCTGACCCTGCCTTGTGTTTAGACCACTCTTCGGACACTCCTGATGGCCCTGTACCTCTTGCTGGTGCTGTTTCCTCACCCGCTTCAGGTACCGGGGCTTCGACTGACTCCTTCGATTTGTCTGAACTCCGCTCTCCTTTGACTATGCTTCCGGCTTCTCCCTCTATGGTACGGCAATTTTCGAATCGCCCGCCCATTTCACGTCGGACCAACTCCGGTCCTACTCCTAAACGCCAACGTCAATCTCCTGATGATGCTCCTTCGTTACCTTCCCATTCTACTCGGAAAAGACCGACACGTCAAGCACTCCCTCTCCACGCTCAGTTTCGGACCACACAATGGACTAAATTCTTTACTTTAAGACCGACTTCTTCTTCTGCCTACCTTTCCGACCATAGTATTGGCAAAGCGCTCCTGCGTCATGTTGGTAGAGATATTTCATTTCATGCTTTCAAGAGCGGTAAGCGCATCGCCACTGTCCAGAATGCTACCCAAGCTCATGATCTTTCTCTCCTTTCGAATATCGATACTACTCCTATCACTATTGAAAAACATCTTTCTCTCAATTCTTGTAGTGGTACTGTCATTCTGCCCCATACCATAGTCCAACAGAATTTCCAGTCATGTGGCAATGACATTCTTGAACAGCTGGAACTCCAGGATCAGAGAAGAACAGTATAATGCACCTTTTACACTTCAAGAACTAGAGGCAACGCTCTCAGCTTGCCGATCATCGGCAGCTGGGCCTGACGACATTCATAGTATGTTGCAACATTTACATCGGTCAGCCCTTGTAGTCCTCTTACAACTCTTCAATCTTATTTGGGCACAAGGAGTTCTTCCCCAGCTGTGGAAATCTGCCATTGTTCTCCCTTTCCGCAAACCGGGTACTACAGGACATGATGCCTCCCACTATCGTCCCATCGCTCTTACTAGTGCAGTTTGCAAAGTGATGGAATGTCTCGTAAATCGACGTTTAATGTGGTATTTAGAGACACACAACAGTCTCTCCGCTAGTCAATATGGCTTTCGTAAGGGTCGTTCTACCATAGACCCCTTACTACGCTTGGATACGTATGTTCGTAATGCCTTTGCGAATAATCACTCAGTTATTGCCATATTTTTTGACCTTGAGAAGGCATATGACACAACTTGGAGGTATAATATTTTGGCCCAGGCCCATTCCTTAGGCCTCCGAGGCAATCTACCATCCTTCCTTAAGAACTTTTTAACTGACAGACATTCCCGTGTTCGAGTCAATAATGTTCTTTCCCCGGACTTCGTCCAAGCTGAAGGTGTCCCTCAGGGATGTGTTCTAAGCACAACACTTTTTCTCCTTGCTATAAATGATTTGGCCTCTGTTCTTCCACCCAATATTTGGTCATCACTCTATGTTGATGACTTCGCTATTGCTTGTGCAGGCGCTGACTGTCACCTTATTGCAGTTTCTCTCCAGCATGCGGTCGACCGTGTTTCCACTTGGGCCACCACGCATTGGTTTAAATTTTCAAGTACCAAAACTCACCAAATTACTTTCACTAGACGCTCTGTTATCTCCGATCATTCTTTGTATCTCTATGGCTCCCGTATCCCCGAACGTGATACAGTCAGGTTTCTAGGCCTTCTCTTTGACCGTCGGTTATCCTGGAAACCTCACATTACCTCTCTGAAGGCAACTTGTCACAGCCGGCTAAACCTTCTTAAAACCCTTGCTCATCTTTCCTGGGGAGCTGATCGTCGAACTCTGCTTCGCCTACATTCAGCCCTCGTTTTATCGAAACTCGATTATGGTGACCAGATTTATTCCGCGGCCTCTCCTGCTACTCTCTCTAGCCTTAACTCTATCCATCACCAAGGCTTACGTTTGTGCCTTGGTGCTTTTCGCTCTTCCCCTGTTGAGAGCCTCTATACAGAAACAAATGTTCCATCCTTGTCTGATCGCCGTGATGCCCATTGCCTTCGCTACTATGTACGCTCTCGTGATCTACACAATCCTTCCATTTATAGAATGGTCACCGATATTAGTAGACATTCTTTATTCGTTCGCCGCCCCTGTTTGCTCCGTCCCTTTTCTCTTCGCCTACATTCACTCTTGTCTTCCCTTCAGTTACCACCTTTATATGTTCATGTAGCATCTCACTTTTCCCTACCCCCCTGGGAAGTTCCAGCTGTTCGGGTCTGTTCTTTCTCACTCCCTTGCTCGAAAGCTCAACTGCCTACGGTGGCTTCCCGCTCTCTTTTTCTTGATCACTTCCACTCCCATTCTCATGCCACCGCTGTGTACACAGATGGCTCTAAGTCTTCAGACGGCGTCGGATTCGCAGCAGTGTTTCCGGACAGCGTTGTGCGGGGGCATTTACTATCTTCAGCTAGCATTTTTACTGCTGAACTGTATGCCATTCTTGCAGCACTTATTCGTATCGCATCTATGCCTGTGTCATCATTTGTGGTAGTCTCAGACTCCCTTAGTGCTCTACAGGCTATACGAAAATTTGATACATCTCACCCCCTAGTTCTCAGTATCCAACTTTGGCTATGCCGTATCTCTACGAATCATAAAGATATTATTTTTTGTTGGGTCCCTGGTCATGTCGACGTACAGGGCAATGAACAGGCAGACACTGCTGCGCGGTCAGCAGTACATGACCTACCAATTTCCTATAGAGGTGTTCCATTTCTGGACTATTTTGCTGCAATAGCTACCCACCTTCACGCCCGTTGGCAACAACGTTGGTCAACTCTACTTGGTAACAAACTTCATTCTATTAAACCGAGCATAGGTTACTGGCCGTCTTGTCATCAGTGCCGTGGTTGGGAGACCACTCTCTCCCGTCTTCGCATTGGCCACACTCGTCTTACTCACGGGTATCTTATGGAGAGGCACCCTGTACCTCTCTGTGAGCAGTGTCAAGTTCCAGTATCGATTAGCCACATTGTTAGACTGCCCTCTCTATCAACGAGCACGCAGAATTTACCTCCAACGCCGTCTTCGTTCTACTACTCTCTTTACCTTCCCTTCTTGCTGATGGACCCTCCTTTAATCCTGACTCTCTCATTGACTTCTTGACAACGACTGATTTACTCCACAAACTGATGATGATACCTTACGCACTCCCCTCAGCCCTTTCTAGCTCAGTCTCTTGCTGCCCTTTACCCTTTCACCATCCACTGCTCCGCTGTTATCCGTAACCTATTACTCATCCACCTCCCTTTTGCCACCTGATGCCCTCGCTTCCTTCCTGCCCTGCAGCGCTGTATAGCCCTTGTGGCTTAGCGCTTCTTTTTGATTATAATAATAATTAGCCTTACTCTGCCATAGGTCTTTTACATCAACTGTCTTAACTTACTGCTAATATCTATCAAAATAACGATTTTCCCAAGAAATAACTGTTTACAGGAGGGCAGCTCTTAACTGTACTTTGGTTTATGGCATTTTGCTGATGCAGCAGTTTTCAGTTATACCCACTTTGACCCTTGTGGGTTTAGCATTTAGTTATGATTATAATAACCATCTGTTATATCCATTCTTCATTTATTTAGACTTCCTACAATAAATATATTCACCACTGACTATCTGGAGTTTATCTGGAGAGAGTTCCGGGGGTCAACGCCCCCGCGGCCCGGTCTGTGACCAGGCCTCCTTAGGTCAGTGTCCCAGGATGCGACCCACACCAGTCGACTAACACCCAGGTACCCATTTTACTGATGGGGAACATAGACAACAGGTGGAAAGAAACACGTCCAATGTTTCTACTCTGGCTGGGAATCGAACCCAGGCCCTCACCGTGTGAAGCGAGAGCGTTAACCACCAGGCCACCAGAGCTAAGGATGAAAATATTTTATGGTATGTAGTGTGTACTGTGTGCATTTTTTAGACCTATATTGCTCACTTAATATATGAAAGTGTAAACATATCAGATATGCATTTGAAAGTGAAAAAGGATTGTTTCACTTTAGTGATTTTAGTTTACAGTAGTAGCAAGGTACCTAACCTACTGTATAAATGGGGCCCTTCTGTATTATGGTGTAAATAACGTGTACATTTATAAAATGTCTGATTTCGACTAAGGAGCAGTTTTTCAGTTATAAAAAATTCTTTAAACTAGTTCCTATTATATTAATTTTTCGCTAAAGGAGACAAATGTTTTTGGACGTGCATTACCTCCTCTGGTCATTAAAGTTAAATTCTGATGTATGAGGATTATTAAGCACTAAACCCATAAGGGTCATAGTGCTGCAGATGACTCGGGAAATACTGTCACAATTTAAACAAGAACATTTTGGTGTCTCATTGCATGAACTGTAAGTGGGAGACTAGTCCCAAGCACAATCCACTGAATCTTACCAACAGAAAAGTCACTTATCTCTGAGTGGAAATATATTACAGGGATTCTTACTTGAGATGAGTGAAACTCTAGTGGTGATTACCAATAAAAGTGAATTTTAGCCACCCATTTAACACTTCAAATGTGTGAAATGAGTAAATTCAACATCAAATTTTAATTGCACTCAATTTACCTGTTAAATTTATGATTTTCTGCTGGCTTAATATACATGACCTGTTAAGTCTTAAATCATGCTCAATATGGTACAACACTTAAAATTCTAGGATTTAAAATAAAATGTTAAAAAATTACTGATGCTGTGTATTCAAAGATATGGTACATATAGGTGTCTGATATGTCAAAGATTATCAGTAAAATTGAGACTTGGATAAATGGTTCAGAAAACCAACAAGTTGATGAATGAGACTTGTACATCTTTACTGTGGAAACAGCTGGTGAAATGTTTCCACAAAGATACCCACGTGTTGCACTAGTGTGCGACTCATTAACATTGAGATGCCAAATACAGCATTTAGGTTTTTACATCATGTTTTCTTATTAAAAGACCTTGTCTTGGCAAATTAAACAAATACTATCATAATCCAAGCCATTTCTATTATACGTATAAACTGATGTGATGGAATTTTTTTTTACCTAGAATGGTACAAGCAGATTTTCCATTAACTGGAATATGTGGTGCTTCATTTAAGCTAGTATACAGTTCAGAACCTGGACAAGTCTAAGATTTAGTGGCTGCTGATATCATACTACCTACTATATACAGTAGCAATAATAATAGTTGTCGAAAGTAACATCTGCATTGTTAATTATTTCTAAGCAGTGAATACAGCATGTTGTTCTTAGCATCTGACTTAGCACCACATGATAGTGGCTGTTGGGTAGATGATCTGAATACAAAACTTCAGCCCATGAACTGTAAAAATATATAAAAGATTATGCAATATATTCCTTATCAATATACATTTACTTGACTACTAAAAGTCTGACTTCACAAGAACCAAATACTAACACTTAATTCAGTTTATAAATATTTATAGGCATAAATACATTAAAAAAAAAGTGAAAGATTTTTATAGTACATCATAGAGAAGTTGTTTAAAGACAATAATACTGGTGTTAAAACATTAATACATAGCTTTATCATCCTTATAATTTGCATACTGTGCAGATTTATTTTTGTAAGTTACTGTACGTTATACTGTAGTTTCAATTATCATACTGAGGTACTGGTTTAAATATTAAATACACTGTATTTAGAAATAACATTAGTAATTATATTTGTACAATTAATTCCAATACATCCTAAGGCTTTTCCTTTTGACACTGAAAATGATTCTATTGGCTTAAAATCAGTGATCCCCTTTTCAATCAATATAATACAATGCTCATGAAAAATATCCTCAGACACTAATAATGGCAGGTTCTAATTGCTATCGGCTGTAGCTGGGATTCAAGCCCATGCCATACTTGCCTGATATTGCCAAACAATTGAAGCGTGGTTCTAAATACCCATAACCACCTTAATAAGGATTAATTACAGTTGTGGGCGAGTGGATACGGGTACTGCTTACTAGTTATATGACAGTGCCATGAAGATATGGCATGGGTTAAAATCCCAGTGAAATTTCTTTTTCAAAACATTAGCCTTTAACAAATTCAATTTTTTTTTAAGAGCTGAAATCTGAAAGTTTCATTTACTTTCTCTCTCGAGATTTCTTGATGCTGGTGAAGAGTATACTAAATGATTCAAGTAAATGTACCTGCTCTCACCCTCTCTGAAATGAGTCTGATTACCTCCTATTCTTCAGGGGCTACATGATCTCTATTGATTTAGCTCTCACCATTAGGAATAATAATCACTTTAAATACTGTGCCGTACTTAATTTTAGACAGTTTAGTACTTACCTTGATTATGATAAGAATAAATGACTTTTGGATTATTATGACGAATTAAATTTTCTGAATTTTAGAGAAGTGCTAATAATAGTTTTCAAAAGAATGGTATATATCTTATTTCCACTAAATCAACCATTTTATGTTATGCTCAAACAAAGTAAATTCAAATCTGTATTATTCTGGTGATACTACATATATCTGTAACTGGTTCTCTTGGCGATGCCAATCAATTTGCTCAAAATATATTGAAGACTGGCTCTAGTTGATGAAATCAGAAAAAAAATGCCATACTACTATATTGTTGTTTCTACTATAAGTAAACCCTCAATTTACTGGACAAATAGGTGGTGAGGGATGATTGGTAATGGTGCTTATGGTGGATTGAGATGAGATTGTTTTGCCATGATTGTAACAGTAACAGACAATTCTGTAACTGATGTACCTTGTCCAATGTTTCTAAAGTGTCATGTAGAGGTTAGGTAAATCAAAAGTTCACTATCATGAATCCATTGATAGTATTGTTGGTGGCAAATGTTAACTTGCCACTATATAAGCTAAGTAGTTACTGTACTGATATTCTGATGATTAAGGCAGTTCATCAAACACACCTTAAAGGTAGTAAGTTGTCAATAGAAAAACTTAATCACTTATGAGCACCAAATATGAAATACATAGTATAAAAATAATTACAAAATATACAGCAAATATTCACCAAGTTGTGTCGGTGACTCAGGAACAAGGCACTTAGGAGCACCTCCATGCTGTCCAAAAACTGGTTCCCACACAGGAGAGTTAGCAGACTGTGCTAGGAAGAATGACTAAGCCATACAAAAGCCATAAATAATATTCAAATTTATAAGAGCCAAATGGAAATACTGGTGTGTCTGCTACACATTTGATTTTATGTACAATCCTAAAAAGTAATTAAACTACTGTAATAAGAAATATATATAATAAAGCATGTTTGACTTAATCTCTTTATTAAGAAATTAAGAGTTATGCAGTCAAAATTAAAATAAAGGGCTTTAAATTTTGATGACACACTAGTCCTGTAACTATTACATTTTAGCTTCAGAAATCTGTTATTGCTAAAATATTAAATATAACCAAAACCTATGTATGCAGTACTAAACTTGTGAAATACTAAACTCAATATTTGAATTTTTAGTTTTGTAAATTCTTTAAAACTTTAGTATACATATGAGATATATACATATGTTTATACATTTCTCTTAATTTAAAAGCAATAAAACTGATAATAATCCTAATGTTTGTGTACAGCACTGAATGTATATTCTGAATGTGCATACTGAATTTCTACTTCTATAAAATTTAAAAAAAAAAAAAAAATTTAAGCAGCCTTTGCATCCACCTCAATTTCTCGAATGTTCAAATGCTCACAATCTTTCTTCTCCAGCAAAGCAGCCTCCAGCTTTGTCAGATCTAGGATGCTGCTGCCACCTTAAGTTTAGACATCATTAAGAATTGCAAATAGGCACTCTGTAGGGGACGGTGGCGAGCCAGATGAAGAAGTGCCTCTTCCATGCTGAACCACTGTCTCCGCCGACCTATGAGAGCAAAGATGTAAATATTTTTAGCCTTTTAAATGTCCAAAACAATATTCATAAAATATATTACGGTTTCATATTTATTTAACACACTGGTTGTCTCCCACTGAGGTAGGTTGCTCCAATAAATCTGAAAAATGCTTCACTGTCTGGAATTGGACCTATTTCCAAGTCAATGAATTGAGTCTGAATGCCTTCCATGCCCTAGGCACTGTATGACCCCTATGGGTTTAGTGCTCCCTTTCCCCCCACAAATGGAATAATAATCTGCTGCAAGAAGTATGCTGACATTAGTTAAGATGACCCCTCTAAACTGCAAACATCTCCACCCCTCCAGAGTGCTGGCACTATACTTCCACCTCCAGGACTAGTCCGCTAACCGGTATTCCTGAATCTTCTCAAATGTTACCTTGCTCACACTCCAATAACATGTCAAATCATAAAAACCACTTGCCTACTCTCCTATCTAATCCACACATAAACCTTTTGGATTTTCAAGCCTTAATACTCCTTTACCCCCTCTCTCCAACCATTCCTATCAATCTTTTTTCATTGCATTAGTATTTGAATATGTACTAATGTTTACATAAATATAAGGTTTACACATACCATACCCTTCATAAAACCTGTTCCTCTGCAATCCTACTCTGTTTTCCCATAATTATTTCACTAATAAGTCTACCATACACTTTACCTGGTATCTTCAACAAGCTTATTTCCCTGTAGTTGTTACATTTTTTTTTATCCCCTTTTCCCTTATACAACAGAACTATGCATGCTTTCTGCCAACCCTAAAGTACTCCCTCCCCCCCATCCTTTCATTTATTTTCAATAATCTCTCAACAATTTGCAACAATGGTGATCTAAGATGGTCCACAATAATTTACTTTGTCAAACCACATTAGGCCTACTAGCCATTTTCTGCCCCCTCCCACCCCACTGTTGTGTCTGAGAGACTGCACTTTCACCTATGTATTGGCCACAAGTCTCATTCATGGGATTATAATCATGGGGGAATGCTAAACCAACAGGGAGTATACAGTGCCTGTGAGAGAGGGAAGGTATTCAGGCTCAATTCAGGGAACTGGAGCACATACCCAGTGGTGGCTCATCAAAAAATAGAATGGGGGGGAGGGAGACTGCATGACTGAAAGCCTCATAGACCAACATAATAAACGTTATTTATTTATTTATTATTTGGGCGTGATACATAGTTGTACAAAAGAAATACAGTGGTTGAGTGTACATGCCAAAAGCCCCTTGTATGCAGAGCATACATAAGCGTTCACATATACGCACCTGTAGGGGTCGTCACAGTCCTGCTGGTGGAGACATAGCTAGCTGAGGTGATGATACAACTATTTGAAATTCTGTTTTGCTATTGAAATCTTGTATGCTGAATCAATTTGAGCTGCAATGTTCGCTTTACCCAGCATTGACAAATCAATAATGTTATTTATATGCTTGGTTGACTGCTCATGTTTCATTACTTTTTGTGGTAAATGCCTCGAGTCAGTTGTGCCACTTTTTGTCCATGAAGTCTCCACCAAACAGTAAGCATGGAAAACAGAATAAAACATTCTTTTCGTCACGGCCACAAAGCCATTCATTTTTCTGGTAAATACACGCTAAACTGGCGTGTATATTCTTTGCTCCTGCTTGTACTTTTTTTGCAGAATGGATGAAACTGGTGTATGTCATCCTTTGTCTTTTATCTTTACTTTCACTTATAATCAACTGCGAAAAGTTAATACTTTGTAAATGTTTAACTCAGTTTACTCTAGTTTCCACTGCCATCATTTATCAAATGGTAATTGAATTTAATGCTATTGAAAAGAATTTAAATTGCCGCCAACACCAATACCAGCCATGCGTTATAATGCACATGCTCACAACGTAAATGGACTGATTGCAACTGGGTGTGTGCTGCATCGAATGCAGCTCCTTGCTGCCAAATGTAACGCAAGTATGTAATACATATACTACCGCATCAAACTTCTATTTTTAATAATTTTTTATCTCGTTTAAAAAAAAAAAAATTTGCTTATAAATACATTAAAAACAACATACAACAGATTTTTCCTATAATATATTTGTCAGTTGCAAATTATTTTAGCGTAAGGTTGATGAAGTCGCATGTCTAGCAGTGAGCATCTGGGGGGACTGCAGCTCTTACGGTCGAGCCGCCACTACACAGACCCAATTCCCTAGATCAAGAGCCCCACACCAGCATCAAGGTACCCTCCCTTGAGGGGTCTCATTCACGGGAACCTCATGTAAAAATGCCCAGCAATGGTCTACGAAGATTGCCAATTTGAAATGTCAGTTCACCATATCTTAACAGAGTGCTTTGCCTATCAACAGGCATACAGAATTCACTTCTGACTTCACCTCTCCAACACATTGCTAGCCTTCCTGGAAGACACACCTGTGATACACACTTTTAAACAAACATACTGTACCAATTTTGATTTTGTTTTACCTTTTGCATTCTCCATTAACCCTTGCCCCCACACACTCGTATCTGGCTCTTCCTCACTCCTAAATGGTGATATACCTCCCTACCCAATGCAAGAAATCACTGCCTCTCTTTAAATCAACATTCAGCAACTCAAAATGTTCCATCCATCTTCCCAGTACCTCCACCGCATCTAATGGCTCCTCTGTCTAGTTTTTAACTGTTAAATAGATCTGTTATGTAAGCTTTTGACAACTTATTGATCTCTAAAACTTCGTTTTCAGCAAAATTTGACAAAACTTCTTCCACTCTCTCCTTTTACACTCCCTCACCACTCTTAACCTTATATCTCCCCTCAAGGGAGGTTCCTTGATGCTGGCGAGGAGCTCTTGATCTAAGGAATTGGATCTGTGCTCCATTATTATTATAATCAAAAAAGAAGCGCTAAGCCACAAGGACTATACAGCATCTGTGCTCCAGTTCCCTGAATTGAGCCTCAATACCTTCCATCCCCCCCATGTGCTGTATAACCCTACGGGTTTAGCGCTTCCCTGTGATTAAAATAATAAAATAATCTTAACCTTATACTGTATATTCATTTACTTGTGCTAACACTGACAACTTTTAACATGAAAATGCTTTACAGTTCAAAAAATTGATTGGAGCTGTATGACCCTTGTAGGTTTAGCGCTTCTTGATTAAAAAAAAAATGTAGTGTGCTTATACTTAAGTTATTTATTATTCGTATCTAAATAAGTATATATTTCTGCCCAGCTTTGAAGTTATATTTTAAATATACCCACTCTTAGAAAACAATCTTTAGTTCGTCTTTGGCTCACCAAGTCTCGCTTCTGGAAAATCTGCATGTTCCTCAGTCACTATGAAGATGTACACTGCTGTCCGATGCTTCTTGAGTCCCGAATGATGAAAGGACTGCCAAGAAAATGTTTAAATAAGTAATAATTCTGATTATACTGTAAAATGTTACTTAAATATTATTCTAAACTTCTGCTCTGTACTGCAATACTATTCCGTAATATTTATGATCAAGCAAGTATGCCGTGAGGCCGGTGAAGGGCTCTTGATCCAAGTTGGTGCAGCTACCATACTTTTCCTTTGATTGAGCCTGATAACCCAGGTGCAGTAATACTCGACTCCCACAATCATATACGTGAGCACGTACATAACTGGCTAGTTACTAGCCAGTTACGTGTATTATCACATCTTCCCCTCAAAGGTTATTTGATGCCAGCGAGGGGTTCTTGATCCAAGAAATTAGACCTGACCTCCCATCGTTGGATTGACTCCCATTCCCACAGATGCCGTATGACATTTACAGGTTTAGCACTCTCCCTGAATTTATTACTGTAATAATGTAACCCAGCCTAATTTTTAAATAGAGTAACCCTCAAACTAAAACAAAAAAAATAATAATGGGGTCTGCCACGGAGTAGATAAAAATGTTTCGAGGAAAAATATTTGCTATATGATGGGATAAAAAAAAATGTAAGGTACCTAAAAATTTAAATATAATCCAAAATCAATGTAAAAATATTAAAAGTAGGAAATAGGGTAATTTATCATATATTCACTATAACTGGTAACTACATCAGAATAACGAATAGATTTAGTATTTTCTTATGATTATTGCTTAATAATAATTAATATATTCCTGGGGAAGCACTAAATCCGTAGAGGTCACATGGTTCTTGGAAAATGGGAAACTAATCATGTTTAATTCAAGGAAGTGGAGGTCATCTCCCGATCCTTAGAACAAGAGCCCTCCACCGGGATCACTGCAAACCCCCTGGAAAGAAACAATAATAAAAACAATGTACATCATGTGATGTCACACCTGGATTGTTTCAATGACAAAAATTGCAAAAATTGCGACGGTGAAACTTTTATTTTTTTTTTTTTTTTTTGCCTAGTTTCATGACTTGGTTTATCTGTCAAAGCATCCCCTCAAGGGAGGTTCCTTGATGCTGGTGAGGGGCTCTTGATCATAGGAATTGGACCTGTGTTCATATTCCTTGAATCGAGTCTGAATACCTTCCATTTCCCCAGGTGCTGTATGACCCTGATGGGTTTAGTGCGCCTCATGAATAAGAATAATAATAACTGTCAAAGCATGTATTATATTCGAACAAGGACTGAAAGATAAGATCAGAAGCTGCCCCTTGGGATTAACTTACTATTTTTTTTTTTTTTTTTTGTAAATGACATTTAGCTGTTGGAAAGAGAAAACTAAGGTAGTTATACAGTAGAATATAGAAAATAGTTTGTAGCACGACTAAAGCTGTGAACGAAAGAAAGACTAATTCTGAATGGTTGACGTCAAGGGGCCCTAAGGCACAACAGAACTGCTATAATTTTTGTTGTAGCGTGGAACCATATCATTATAACCGCCTCCAAATCTAGCATAGGATGACAATTATTTTACATATTGTACCAACACGCTCTTGTTGCATTTTCTCAACCTTCAAAATCTTTATCTTACTTAAGGAATTGCTTTCACTATCCACCTTCGTGTCTCCCTTTAATACTATCCTGTAGATTGCGGTGTCGAATGACCCACACAGGTTTAGCACCTTTTTGTGTACAATATATCCAGGAATTATTATAACTGCCATAGGTGACAGCACTTACCTCAAAGAGTCCAAGATAACGAGCTATGTGTCCCTGGATCCCAGCCTCCTCCCAGGCCTCACGCCTGGCTGCTGTGACTGTGTCCTCTCCTGGCTCTAAGCCTCCACCCGGTACCAGCCATACGCAGGGGTCTTTTTTGCTCGACACCAACATCACCTGTAATGAGATTCTTTAGTACTCTAGCCATTACAAATTACTGTACAGACCACAGAGACTCTGGTCTAAGCCTAATGACCAGGGTTTATCAGGTGTGTATGTGGGGGGGGGGGGAAGAGAGCCACTTGGGCTGAGCCTCAAACTCGAAGGTCACCTCAAATGTAAACCATTCAATTCTGTCTGGCATTTGTTGAATTTTGAATTTTATTGGCATTCCTAGCAGATCAAAATGTGTCACATCTGAAAAGCTAAAATTTAAAACTTGAAAATGTTCTACGGATGAATGCTGGGTAAGGTCATTAGTCAACATGTTACAAGTGAGGAACCCCATTATAGAGACTGGTGACCAGTTCTGAGGATTATACTGCCCTCCGCAGCCCAGTATGAGGCCAAAATTCCATGATGACTACCTGGTCAACCAGGCTGTTGCTGCTAGTAGTTCGCAGTGAACGCAAAATTAATATTACCCATGGAGGATGAAAATGTGGGGTACGGGGTATGGTAAGGCGAGATCATCAGATTTATCACAACTTTGGCGAGAGGTTAATAACACCCTAGGTTACCAATTCACACCATGATATTACTCATATTGCACTAATTCCAAGTAGGAGTCAAAAGTATCACGTGTTTGCCTCCAGCGAGTTAAATTTGTCCGGTGACAATTATAATTTTTGGAAATCAAGTTTTACAGATTAAGAGCCATTATTCCATCACAGCTCATTTCAAAGCTCAGCCCATCTACAGTATACTACCAAGATCCTTCCAGGTTACCACCCTCTAGTTAGTCATTACCTAGTTACCTGTTTTATGCTATGTGAACAGGGGCAGCACGTGTACGGAGACTTCCCCACACATTCTGATGAGCCTTGAATACAAACTCTTGATCTTTAAGATATGAGCCAACTCTAACCACTGCGTTACTGGTGTTGTCCTATACAAATGTCACGTTTATTCGCCTAGTTGTAATTTCTTGGTAGAATTACCGACAATATGTTAGGTAAAAGGGCACACGTACAACTAATGACATTTTATTGCGGCAACGTTAGCTGGACACGAGTCCTTTGCCTAACATACTCGCCTAGTTATGTTTACAGGGATATACAGTAGTCATAGCTCTGGGCCCTCCTCTTAACTAGTATCAACTGGTTTAATAACTTCTGGCCTCTAGGGTTTGATTATAGAGAACTGTATCTACCTTGAAACTGCTTATAGTATTCACATCGGCCACCTATTTAGCTCATGTCACTTGCTATCCTAAGATGAAAAAGTATTTCCTGATGTCCTTATAACTCATTTGCGCCTTGAGTTACCATCTGTATCCCCCTGGCTCCCTCGCTTCTCAAGCATCATGTCCCTATCCACTCTATATTCTGTAATTACGGGAAGAGCTAAAGTTGTGTTATTCTCCTGAGCATATTTTGTCATGATCATGTATCCCTTCAGTCTCTCTTTCTTCCAGTGGGGCTATATCGAGTCCTTAGCTTCTATAGTTCCACATCTTAATTACTTCACAAACGGTACTAACGGTACAAACGGAGATAAAACACCTCAATTATTGGGAGCGCTTGAGGTTCCTAAACCTGTATTCCCTGGAACGCAGGAGGGAGAGATACATGATTATATACACCTGGAAAATCCTAGAGGGACTAGTACCGAACTTGCACACGAAAATCACTCATTACGAAAGCAAAAGACTTGGCAGACGATGCACCATCCCCCCAATGAAAAGCAGGGGTGTCACTAGCACGTTAAGAGACCATACAATAAGTGTCAGGGGCCCGAGACTGTTCAACTGCCTCCCAGCACACATAAGGGGGATTACCAACAGACCCCTGGCAGTCTTCAAGCTGGCACTGGACAAGCACCTAAAGTCAGTTCCGGATCAGCCGGGCTGTGGCTCGTATGTTGGTTTGCGTGCAGCCAGCAGCAACAGCCTGGTTGATCAGGCTCTGATCCACCAGGAGGCCTGGTCACAGACCGGGCCGCGGGGGCGTTGACCCCCGGAACTCTCTCCAGGTAAACTCCAGGTACTCACCGAGTTATGTTGGCGGGGGTCGAGTCTGGGTTCTATGCCCCTTCTTAAACAGTCACACTATTCCTGGCTTCGTAGGCGTATCATACTTACTCTTACAAATCTGTGAGGGGGAAAAGGGAGAAGGGAGGGGACGACCTTGTGTCAAGTGTGTGCGACCACTTGTACTAGTTGTATATTTAGACTAGTGTCAGGTGCATGCCTCCCTCTCTCTCCCTGCCCTATGCAGCCAGAAAAAAAAGCGCGCACATACTGGTAAGTGGAAAGAAATGGATGAAGTAGTGACGTCAAGTCCATGAACAGTTTCAAGGATAGATACGATAGGACGAAAGTGGCCAGAAATAAAGTGGGTCCAGGAGCTGAGACTCAAGCCCTACAAACAAGTAGATAGTAGTACACACTGAATGGAAAGGCAATACACGAGATGGGTAATAGTGTCAAGAAGCGAAACGAAAAATCTGTCACTCTGACTATGGAGTCCTACAGCAGAGGTAAGCCCGTGGCCCCTCGAGAGAGTGACCTCCCCTCCATTCCCGTGAATCGAATTTAATTGTCTCCTATTCCCCAAGGCGCTGTACGACCCCTATGGGTTTTGCGTTTCCTCGTGAAGTTTTGAGACTCTCTGACCCCACCCGTGGTATGGTTTGTTTGCAATCGTGTCATTACGATTTCGTGAGTAACGTTACAGAGGCCTGCGAGTGCGCCATCAGATACTCCACCTTCACGTTTCCTGAGTCTTGTCGCACCTCCGCCAAAATGCCGGTACCACTGATCAGTTGAAGAATACACGAGGAACACTGCAGTAGGCCTATTGGTTTATGCTAGGCAGGCTCAACTCACCCAACCACACCTACTCATATGCCTCTCCGTCATATATGTCGTGTCGAATAGGTAAATATTGCAAGCGAAAAAGGCAAGCGAAAATTTGTGTGCTATAATTTCGCAAAAATAATTCCGAACCTAACGAAAAAAATATATTTTATTGTGTTTGTTTATTATTAAATTACTGTAAACTTATCTAAAATATATTTAGCTGGATTAGGCTAAATTAAATTGCACTTGTTATAATAAGGTTAGTTTTCTAAGGTTCTCTTGGTACAAAATTATTAATTTTTACATTATCAATGAAAAAATGTATCTTTAAACGTATAAGAGAAAATTTTAGACAGGACATATATAAAACCACCGAAAGTTCTCACCCTAATGACGAAAACCGCCGAAAGTTCTCGCCCTAATGACGCTACCTGATCGTTAGTTCCACCAATTTACAACTCAATTGCCAAACCAGTGTTTCCCTATACCTTTCCTAAATCTGTGTGTTCAACTTTAATCCTCTGCTGCGAATCTTGTCTTAGTTAAATACTTTCAGCACGTTATTCATATAACTTTTCTTTTTTTTCCCCTTCGTTCACTTCAGTCATATTTCTTCTAATTCTAAGCTTTTCCAGAGTGTAAATTCAGTGTCTACAGCTTATCTTCGTAGGAATGGTTTCTGAAACAGAGGATCAACTTCATTCTCTGTATATTTCCAGCGCATTTAGGAAAATTACAGGCGTCAAGTTATTTTCCCTGATAAATAAACCACATGACTTAAAACACGAAACAAAATACTATAAATATGAAAAGCAGAGATCACTGTTCAAAAAGAAATGTTGAGCCAAGGATGTGATAAGATAAGATTTCGTTCGGATTTTTAACCCCGGAGGGTTAGCCACCCAGGATAACCCAAGAAAGTCAGTGTGTCATCGAGGATTGTCTAACTTATTTCCATTGGGGTCCTTAATCTTGTCCCCCAGGATGCGACCCACACCAGTCGACTAACACCCAGGTACCTATTTGGTGCTAGGTGACAACAGGTGTAAGGAAACGTGTCGAAATGTTTCCACCCTCCGGGAATCGAACCCGGGCCCTCCGTGTGTGAAGCGGGAGCTTTAGCCACCAGGCCACCTTCGTCTCCGTGTTCCAAAATTACTATACTTGGACATTTACGTCATACAGCCATGAAAAAGTGACAGCTGAAGTGCTGACGGCCCCGTTCAGGGCAGGAGAAATATCAGAGCTGGAACAAATACAGAGATCGTTTACTGCTCACACTGAGCCAGTAAAGCACCTAAACTACTGGGAACGCCTGCAAGTCTTGAACATGTACTCATTGGAGCGGAGGAGAGAGAGGTACATGATAATATATACCTGGAAAGTACTCGAGGGCTTGGTCCCAAATCTGCACACTGCCATAACAACATGCTGGATTGAGAGATATGGGAGGAAGTGTAAAATAAACCCAGTGAGAAGCAGGGGTGCGGTGGGGACAATAAGGGAACACTGTATCAACATCCGGGGTCCCAGACTTTTCAACATCTTACCAGAAGGTATCAGAAACACTGCTGGAACAAGTGTTGAAGCCTTCAAGAGGAAACTAGACAAGCATCTTCACCAGGTGCCAGATCAACCAGGCTGTGATGGATATGTGGGGCAGCGGGCCTCCAGCAGCAACAGCCTGGTTGACCAGGCGAGCACTAGACGAGTCTGGCCCATGGCCGGGCTCAGAGAGTAGATATACTCTCGAAATTCTTCAAAGGTATAAGGTAAGCAATATCTTGACTTGCATCGTTAGTTGTGTAACACTAAGTATCCTCAGTGTACTTGCTGTTGGAAAATATCAACTAAAACATAACCGCCGATGTTATGTTTTTAAAAATTACTCCAAAGGAACGCCGAAATAGTGAACTCGGTTAGTGTAGGACATTAGTTGGATACACAAATAGTGAACTTCAGTGAAAATGCACTCTGTATACTCATATATGTGTACTGTATATATGTATTTTGCCATCAGGAAACGGTTGGCTGAAATATAATCTATATAAACAAAGATATGAAGCCACACTACCTGATACGGCTAACCACTACCTGGGACCGCGACTTGAAATCACTGCCATTATTATTATTATAATCAAGGGGAAGCGCTAAA